GGAAGGGAAAGAGGTCAGGAGTTTGTGACAGGAGTCAAACCCATGTCTTATGCCATTGCCATTCGAGCTCTTTGCTCATTGGTCACATTATTAGACTTCTAAGTGCATAGGATTTGATACCCAATTTTCTCTTTGGCATCTTTGCTTAATTGTTTCTGGAACTGGATGATGTAAGGACTTTAAAGTTGTGAAAGTTTATGACTAGTTTAAGGGAAAATGCATTTCATTTGGAAGCTTGCTTAGTTTTAGGAGTTTTTTTTTAGTTTCATTGAATATGTTGAATATTGCAATTTGCACCCTACAAATTTTAGGACCCATTTTGCACAGTTCAAGAAACCCATCCTTAAACTGTTGCTTTGAATCAATTTTCATTTCAATTTTTTACGAGGTTGACAGTAAGGCTCAAGTCCACTGCAGTTGAATCCATATTCTAAATATCTGGTTCTGTTAATATATTTAAGCTCAACTCTCACTTTATACACCCAATTTTGATTAAATTTGGTGGCAGTGCAAGTCTATTTACTGAAGAAAAATTCTTTTTTATGTTTTTTGGTGCTTAAATTTTGTGAAATAAATGTGTATACAGGGGTTCATGACTCATTTTGGACTCATGCATGTGACGTGGAGAAAATGAGTCAGATTCTTAGAGAAAAATTTGTGGAGCTTTATAGCATGCCAATACTTGAAAATGTAAGTTTTGTTGTATCATGAGTAACATTGGCTTATATATAGGAATACACGTAGAAAATTTATTTCTTATTTTAGTTATAAAATATTAAACATCATGATCACATCGTCCCTACTTAATGCAAATCTTTTGCCTTTTAGACCAAGTGAGTTCTCATTATTTGATCTGTTGACAGTTGCTGGAAGGCTTTGAGACATCATACCCGGGATTAGCTTTCCCTCCCCTGCCAGAGAGAGGTGATTTTGACTTGCGGAAGGTTCTCGAGTCTCCATACTTCTTTAACTGAGCATTGCTTCGCATGAAACTATTACAAAATTCAATGGATGCAATGTTACCTTCACTTCCAATGCAAAATCATTCAGCAACTTCTGAGACAAAGACAATACTTCCTTCATCTTGTGTGGAAGTTGCAATTCAAAGAAAGACCCCAGGTTGCTTATGGGAAAGGCCTGAAAGGAAGTCTCCTCTAAGAATGCTCAGAACTAGTTTGGCTAGTTTAAGAGGAGATAAGCTTTGATCATCCTTTACATTTTATAATCAACTTGCAGGGCAGGAATTTCTCCATCAAATTTTTAATGTTGCCGATTTCCTTCACTCAAATTGAGTTTGCAGAAAGTCCAAGTCTAGAGCGGAGCTAAAGACCGGTGACCATAACTGATTTTGATAATGTAAACCATCCTTTTTCTGTTTACATGTACTATAATGTGCGAATAGTTGTATTATATCTAAGATTGAAAGATAGATTGTTAGGCATAGAATTAATGATTTTGTAATTTGTACATAGAATTATTCATGTTCATTGGTTTCAATCATAAATTCTAATAGTATGGAGAAATTTTTTTAAATTGATAGCATAGTTCATCCTTATTGTGCCAGCTTTGAAGTAGACAATATCCAGTTGATTCTATGAATCAAATATAATTTCATTTATATAGTTATTCATCACAGATGATCGCTCAAAATATTACCAAACAAGGAATGTGCCATGTGATCAACTTGTGTGACATCTTGAACCAATTCATATTGTAGATGGTGAACAAAACAGTGGTTCTTTTGGTTCTTGCGATTGCATGTAGACTCCGTTATCCACCGACCTGACACATTTGCTGTTACAGGCATGTGCTGTAAAAGCCTAAAATCAATTATCTATACCATTTTTTCCTTTTTACGACTGACACATGATTCCATGGGATCTGTGTTCTCCAAGGAAAAATAGCTTTTAAAATAATCAAGGTCCATTACACGTTAATAACTACAGTAGAAACTCTTTAAATTAATAATGTGAAGACCGGAAAAATTTATTAATTTAGAGAGTTATTAATTTATCGATAAATTAATAATTATTAATTTAAAGAGTTTTTAAGAATTATGTTGTACATACTAAATAAAAAGGTAAATTAGTCTATGCCTCTTAGAATTACGTTGTAGCGAATCTTGGGACTCAACGTAAATTAGTAACTTTTAAAGTATATATGCATTGAAAATCAATACGTAATAACTTTTGAAGTACATATGCATTAGAAATTAATAATGACTTTTGAAGTACAGTAAATGTAAACAAGAGGAATAAATGTGTTCAATGTATTCTTAAGCAAGTTTGGCATATATAAATTACATGAATGTGTTATGATACAATACAAAAATACAACACCTGAGTTATTGGATACAATAAGAAAAGTTAGAGATGAGCTCCAAATAGACTTGAACTTTAAAGGAAAACAGACAACTATTGAATCATATTTCAATAGAGTGTAATATATTTTTTTTCAGTTTCTATAAATTATTAATTTATGATTTTCTTGGGATCGAAAATTATAAAGGGATCTCCCGAAAAATTATTATCTTATTATTTTATCGAGTTTTTCAACTTTTTACATTGACTCAAGTCGAGACCGGACAAATTTATTATTTTAGAAAGTTTATTAATTTATCAAGTATTAATTTAAAGAGTTTTATACTGTATAAGAGTTAAAAGTATGTAATCAGATCATGTAATGAAAGTACAACAACTTATTATACAATAATACAATAGTAGAAAATGGTGATCAACGGATCAGATCATGTAACTACAATAACTTGTTTCATATGGAGTGCGTATGACATTATTTCAATTTTTTTTTAACGAACTTATAAGTTAATTTGATTAAAACAAGTTTGTTTGGTACCCTAATTTATATGAGCTTATTTAAAGAGTTTATATATTTTTTTTAAAAAAAAATTACTTGAGGTAGCTTATAACTTATATAAGCTTTTAGTTTTTTTTTCATTATTTTTTTTATCCTCCTTAATTTACTTTAATTTTTTCCTTTTAATTTAGAAATAATTTTGCCTATCCTAAGTCCTAACAATCTCTCACTTTCATTATGAAAATTATTTTATATTATTTTACATTTATCAACTAGTTTATTAATTAATTTTTTTAAATAATTTCAATTCAATCAACTACCTTTAAGTTTTAAGTTTTTCAACTTTGAATTTATAACTTATAAACTTTCAGCAACTTATAAATTAGTTTTGCCAAATACACTTATATTTAAGTGTCTAATCATCTATAGGATATATAACGTATTTAGATAAGAATGCTAAGTTCAGCATCTTCTGTATATAGCCAATATTTAAAATCAGAAGAAAAAAAAAATTGACAATCTTGCCATTTTTTTTTCATGTCCTAAGCAATTAGTTAAAATATTGATTGACAATCAGAAAACTGTCTCAAGCCACTTAAATAAATAAATCTTGAAATATGTTCACAAATTTAATTTTTGGATTGTACTTGATAACAGTTTGACACCGACACGTTTTCTTCCCACCATAGCAGGGTAGGAGAAACAACGATACTGTGCTTGTTAATGTTAGCTCTTTGTAAGCAATTGCATAGATTTTTTGACACGAATCTGAGGAATGTACAAGTGTATGAGAATCAAATTGAAAGTTCAAGAGCTTGTATGATCAGAAATCAAACCACATGATTGCGTGAACACCCAAATAGTCTAATCATCATTCAAGAGTACTATTTTTTTGCTTTACCCCTTTTAATCCTTACAACTACTCTTTTGTACTAACAATTATTGTTTCAGCCCCCAAGCTACTTAAAATGCATTAATTTGCAGTGGACCACAGTGCTGCTTTTCTTTTATAAAAGTGATATTATTATTCCATACAAGAATAATGTGTAAATGTTTATTTCCCCATTGATAATGAGTCATAACTCAAGTCTTCACCTAAAATAAAGTGACTCACTTTCTTCAAAGAGTAACAAGTAAACTATAAGAATCTCCAAATTTCAATAGCAAACAGCTCAGTACTATCAATATTCAGAGCGAAATTCTTTTTGACTTTTCTTGACTATATTTCATTCATTAATAATATACCTCTCTTACTCTTTTTTTTTTTATTCCTCAAATATTCTTGAGTTATATAACATACTTGAAAGTACTCCTTGAAATAGTATATTTATTATTCCTGAAAGAGTTTTTTCAGAAAGTATTTTAGAATAACATATATATTGTTCTTGAAAGAATTTCAAAGTATGTTTTAAGAAATATAACGTACAATTTCGGAAATTAATTTTTTGATAATAATTGAAAATAATTTCGTCCTAATCGACCATTTATAAAAAAAAATGAAAAGGGTAGTATCTTTGAAAAATCAATGACGTCTTTAAAAAAAATCACAATCTCCTTTTTTTTACACATCTAATTACTAAAGATGTTGATCCTGTTATATATAAGTCATATTAAAGAAATCATAAAAATTTATTGATGAAAATTGTAATTTAAGACATGTTTGTACTTTGTATTTGATATAAGAAATAATCAAATACAAGAAATAATGGAGATGAAGGGAAAAATCAAAGTTTAAAGAGTAATGAAATTATGAGTGAAAAAAATAAGATTTACGAAGTAATAAAGATGAGGTGTGAGTGACCAAATATCTTGATTGTCAAAAAGAGAAATTAAAAAGAAAAAATAAAGAAGAAGAAGAAGAAGAATCAACTAAAAGTAATTAAAAAAAAAAAAAAAAAGTAGTGGGGGAAGAGAGATACAAGAAGAGCAGTTGAGGCAAGAAGATAATTTTTTAAAATAAAATTTATTTCAAACATTTTCATATTAATCACCCGTTTTGTCATTATTTATAGTGAATGTTAAAAGCAAACAAAAGCCAGCTATACATACTGCAACATACACCACAAGTCACCAACTTAAAAGAGATGAGAAATAGCATTTGGAGACGATACACGTATCATCCTCCCGTACAAACATCCCAATTGAATAATAATATAATACCACTACATTCTAATTAAATTATAAGAATTTTAAGTTAATAGTTTGCCTTGGCATTTAAATAAAAAGAAGCTCCACTCATTATAAATTTTGTAAATAACATTGAATTAATTTCATATTAATAATTGTAAGCTAGCTCATTACAAATTCACTACTTATCCACATGATTCCATTCCATGTCATATGAGAGAGCATGCAGCAGGTGCCTCTGCCAGCAGACATATATATATATATATATATATCACTATGCTTACTGCTTACTATCTTATATATATATATATGGATTAATTCATGTGGTGGTCCTTCTCGATCTTCATGTCACTACTTTTAAGGTGAGACATCACTGTCTCATACGCCCATAACCTTATATTCATGTTACTAACTCCTAAATGATTCTCTTCTCTGTGCATTAGTTTTCTCATGCCATGGAACATCCATCATTACGATTCAAACAAAACCAATTACAACCATTCTTCTTGTTTTTTCCTGGTAGGACACTAACAAGAATCAGTAGAGCAATCAGGAGCCACATAACCGTATCAAATATCGCTGTATACGTAGAAGCGGGTTTATCAATTCTTGATTATACCATATTTTACTCTAAAGTTTGAGAGGAGTATTAAAAAAATATCATTTACCCTAAAGTTGAAAGGAGTATATAAAAATTATCAAAACAACTTGCGCGTGTTCAGTCACTCACTTGTAACATAAATTCATGATTGATAAGGAAAAAAAAAAAAAAAAAAAAAAGGGAGCCACTAATTTGAAGATAAGTTTCGGTGAAAATTAAGGGATATATGATATGGCGACACGACATATGCTATTTGAATCAAAGAGGGGTTCTTTTGAGATTACATGAACGTAACATGTAACATGCCCATTAATTATATAATTTAATCAGAAACGTATTTTTTTTAGTCTATGTAACAAAACATTTGATAGGATGTGCTGATGTAGATATGCGTATGATCATATCTGTTTTTTGTTTTTCTATGGATCGGAGGGCCAAAGACTCATTAAATGGATTCTAAATTGTGGAAAAAATAAGGTCTAAGTCTAACCATATCATCATCTATCGGAATTATTCGGATGAACACCAACTTTCAAACTATATATCCTTAAATAAACCTTATTACTCTAGGACACATGGTCTTGGATGAGCGAAAGCACCCTCATTCTTCATGAAACTCGTGCATTGATGCTAATTGGTGTATTTTATTTTTCAAATCAATAAAATAATATTTTTCTGCAGCTAAAAATTTGTAGTTTGAAAGTACATATAGAGGATATATTTGTCATTATATTCTACTTCTAGAAAATTTCACAACTCTTTTTTTTTTTTTATCAACGGTTAAAAAAATTATGCCATTTTCAAATTTGAGAAGATAAAAAACATTTTTATATTATAAATTTGAGTCATTGTTCATGTTAAAAGAAAGAACCCAAGTGGCCTTTCCTTCTCCTTGCGAATCGTAAGTAATTTAACCAATATTTAGTACTTTTAATATTATTAAATTTTTATTTTACTTAATTACATTTTTTAGTCTTTCAATTATTAACATTGTG